GGGCATGCGTCCAGCATCCAGCCCCAGCTGCTTAGCTAGTAAAGCTGATCGATATCTATCCCTTTCCTGCACTCTCCTGAATGCGTTTCCTTTAACAAAAGACAGGTATCAGTTTTAGAACGGATTACTGACTCCCTGTAACCTTGGACGTCTGCTGCCACACACAGTGCCAGCTTTGCTGCATTCAAGCCTTCGAGCACTGTCACAGCCCTGGGGTGTGCCCCCAAAGGTTCAGGTTAGCTTGGCGATGAAAAAAACCCCCTCCCTTGTTCGTGAGATTTCAGGCACTGGTTCTAACCACAAACCTGGGTTCTGGGCCAGTAACTCATTCCAGTCACTTTAAAACAGAATCAAAATTTATTTACAGAAATATAATAGAAACAAGCAAGTAAGGGAAAGGGTGTGTACACTGAAACAAAGACAAGCACAAGCCTGACTCTCTAACCACTAACACCGACCCTGTGCAGCAGTCTCCTCAGCAACACGGATGCAGAAGCAGCCATTACGGGGGGAGGTGGGGGGCCATGCTCCCTCTAAGCGGCAGAGTCTTGAGAGCACAAATTCTACTTTGTGAGCTACTGCATGAAAGTTGTGAGCAAGCGATTTGGCTGCTCCCTAAATTAGTTTGCTCTGGAGCCGTCCTTCCTGAGACAAAAATGTGTGAGCCAGGGGCTAAAAAACTGTGAGCTGGCTCACACTAACTCAGCTGAGAGGGAACATTGGAGGGGGGTCCTCCTCTCTTGTCTGTCTCTGTGGTGCCTGACTCCTGATTTTATCCTAGCTCAGCTGTCCGATTTCTGATTGACTGACCAATCACAGGCCTCAGTCAGTTGTTCTAGATCTTGAACTGTCAAGACGGTGAGATGCCGGGTAGTTGTCTTGGCAGTCCCCAGCCGGCCCCTCTCAAGCTGACTGCTAACTCACTGCACTGCACGTGCTCCTTAGGATGACACCTCCTAGCTTGGAAACGACCCGGATGGAACTGAGGGCTTCACCCTGCCACAAAAAAAGGCAGAGAGATCCTGAGGAGGACCCACTTTCGGGACAAGCGCCAGCTGCTTTTCTCGGGGTTCCCTGGCAGGAACAAGGCCAGTGTTAAGTCGCTCGCTTAACAAAACAGTCGGAGAGTGATTCATTCAGCAAGAACACAGCTTTAGTCTTCCACTCGAACACAACTGCAACACAGATCAACATCTGATAGCCAGAACAGCCTTTACGTTGCAGCTGTCCTGCTTTTAAACATTCCCGGCTAATATAGCCACACCCACTGTACAAATACCAACCAATAAGGTTGTCCACATAGGACCAATCACGGATGTTCCCGCTCAGGGAGCTTGCTAGAAGGTGATTGGTTAGGTGCTTCCTGGGCTAGTCACACGATTGGATGGATTTGGATCCTAGCCCAGGACGAAGCTTAACCTAGCTTTTCAATCAGATGTTCCACCACACAGAATGCATGCAATGGCGGCTTATGAATACATTACAGCCAGAGAATCCAACCCGCAGGAAGGCATTTGTACAGAGGGATTCGAGCTGTAGTAGAAGGGAACAGTCCAGGAGGGCGCCTTGGGAACGGAGCCGGCCTTAAAGTGGAATGACGGGAAGGAAGGGAGCAATAACATAAAAGTAATAAAGTAAAAGTGAAATAAAGGGGGGGGGGGAGTGAGTCCCTGCTGGCTGGGTCCCACCTGCCTGTTCTGTCGAGTTCCAGATCTGAATGTTGCCTGAAGCCCCAGGCAAAGACGCGGCTTTTGTCTAGTGACACCGTCCCTGCCAGGGGATCCTGGCTGGAGGCGCTGAGACACAGGTGTGGTCCCTGCCCCCATTTTCTGCACAATGACCCTGTGGGGTGGGCGTGGCCCAGAGAACAGGGCTGAATGGAAGTCCACAGGAGAAGGGGACCAGGCCTCAGCCAGCACAGGGACCACCCCGTCAGACTGGCTCCCCAGCGGGGGGCTGCCTGGAAGCGGGGAAGGAGACGTCCCAAGGCACCATGACGCAACATCTGGAAATGAACCAGTCAGTCGAAACCCCTCCCTCCCTCCCTCCCACGTTGTCTGGGATCCCATGGTTTTGTCCTTTGGAAACTCTGTGGTTGATAGGAAGTAGCACGGAGGAAGGCGCTTGGGGTCCCTGCCCTCTTTCTCCCCCCCCCACAACAGGGGGGCACATTCCCACCTCTGCCGTGGTCCCTGCAGAGGCTACCAACCTCCAGGTGGGTCCTTGAGGCCTCCCAGAATTCCTAGTGATCTCCAGCCTACAGAGGTCGGGTCCCCTGGAGGAAATGGCTGCTTAGGAGGGGGGGGGGCTCTCCATGGCCATTGCGCCCCACGGCTGAGGTCCTTCCCCTCCTCAAACCCTGCCCAGCCCAGATCTCCAGGAATCTCCCGACCCAGAGCTGGCAACCTGAGTTCCTGGGGGTGCAGGCGCGGGTGGATGTGTGTGTGTGTGTGCGTGCACAAGAGGGTTGCCCCTTTCATCGGCTGCCTCCCCTTCCGGGTGGTTTGTGTTGACAATGGCAGGGACCAAAGACATTCACGACCACAGATCTTTCCAGACGGCCTGATTTTTGGCAAACATTTACAAATCACACTGGGCACAGGTGGGCTTCACTCTGTCCACCTGGGCTCAGAGACACGGCCTTTCTTAGCTGCGACAGGTACTGAAATGGCCTGAGGCCATTGACGTCTGTTGCAACAGGTCCTCCTGCTTATCTGGTACCACTTGGCCTTCTGTGCAGGAAGGTCGCGAGCCCCACGTCCTTCTTGGCAGGGATCCCTCCCGAAGCTGCCGTGTGTCTGTTCTGGGGTCTGAGGTGCGTTTTGTAGAGGTGATGATGATGATGAAGGGATGGACGCCACAAGACACCTCCCCGGTTAGTACGACCAGCAGGGAGCGGAGGTGCCACCACAGAGCCACGCCGGGGAAGCGCATGAAGGAGTCATTGGGGCAGGCAGAGCGGCTCTTGCCCACTGCTGGGTCACAGCTGGGACTGGGGCGAGGCCAGGCCTTCTGGGCAAAGGGGGCGGCCCTTGGATGATCCTCAGGGCTTCCATTACCCCCCCCAGCTCCAGCTCTGTTGTGGGGTGGCAAGAAGGAAGGCTCGGACGCCAGAAGAATGCCTTATTCCCCGGCCGGAGGCTTGGGTTTCAGGCTGCTCTTTTGTTTGCGGCCCTCCTTGGCTAATCCCAACCGGCCGAACCGGCCCTTGAGGTGTGGCGACACCCGCGGGTGCCTCCACTCGAGCCCTCCTCCGCCCCCCCAGGAGGCCAAGCCCCGCGGGACGAGGGGCGTGCCTCAGATGCCCCCGCGTGCAGGGCATAAAGCCCCAAGGCCTGCCGCGCCCAGGCATCGTGTCAGTCAGCCAGGGGCATGGCAGGGTGCAGAGTTCCCGTGGCCTTGGCGGTGGCCTTGCTCTCTGGCGTGCTGGCCGAGAGCGGGGGGGCCCTGGAGAACCACTCTGTCATCCAGGTGCCCAACGGCGGCCCCTGGGGCGCTTGGGCCTGGCAGGAGATGTGCCCAGAAGGGACCTATGCCACGGGCTTCAGCATCAAGGTAACCCCCCCAGCCCCCTGGGGGCAGCCCGGGAGGGGGGGCGATCGCCACACACCAAGAGGCCTACGAACGGGAGGCGCGCTGCTGCCCCCCGCCCCGAGATGTCCAGAGTCCCGCCCTGCTGCTCAGATCCCCGGCTAGTGCAGTGACTGAGGCAGGGCCAGGGGTGTGTGTGTGTGTGGGCAGGCGTCTCACACGTGTGCTCTTGGCCTTGCGTTCTGGCAAGCCCCGTGGGAAGAGCCAGTCGCCCCCGGCAGAGGACTGCTAGAGATCCCAGCCACGGAGGAAGGAGGCCGGACCCAGAGGCCACTACCCACCATCCCCCCTTGCCTCTAGCCGTGCACCTTCCCTCCGGGGGCCCGCGCGGTTCCCAAGTGGGGGCCAGGAGCTCTTGGGGAGCCCTTCCCTTTGAGAAAGGGGGCCGAGGAGTGCTTGGGAGGGAGAGTGTGGAGGGGCGGAGGCAGGCTCCGTGTGAGGAAACACCCCCCCGCGAAGCCCTGCACGGGGGGGGGGACTTCTCCTCAGTCCCCGAGGCCAGGAGGCTAGCCCGCCCCTGAAGCTGGAGGCTCCATCTGGCCCTCACGGTGTGGCCTCTCCCCCTCCCGGGGGCAGCAGCCGGAGTCACCCCCCTAGGCCCTGGGGCAGTGGGCAGCATCCGTGACCAAGGACACACAGATGGGACTGCAGGGGGCGGGTGCTCCAGTGATGCCTTTCGCCCAGGGAGGAGGGGTCCGTGCCCCCTCCCAGCCTTCTTTCTTCCCGTGCAGGTGGAATCTTATCAAGGCCTCACCAACGACGACACCGGGATGAACGGGATCCGGCTGCACTGCACACGCGGGGACAGGCACCCGGCCCACGATGTGGAATCGCAGAGTGGCATGTGAGAACCTCGCTCGGTGGTGGTGGCAGTGTGTGGGGGGGGGTTGGGTGGGAGGAGAAGGGAGCCTCCGCTTGGGGGGGGTGCCATTGCCTCCCCCCTCCATCCACTCTCGATGGGTCCTGATGGCCGGGAGCCCCCCCTCCCCCTGCCCAGTCTCGGTGGCCGCAAAGCTTTCCTTTGTTTCGCTCGCCACGCCCCCCAGGTCTTCTTGACGTGTTTGAAAACAGCCTTCAGGAAGCTCTGCCTTGGGCGGATTTCCCTGGCCCTAAAAACTGTCCCGTATTGAAAATGTCCGAGAAAGTCGGTGCCTGCCAACAGCCCTGAGTTTTGCCAGAGCCCTCTCGCCCCTCCCTCCCCGCACAGTCTCACCCACAAGATGCCGCCAGCCTCCTGCTGGACAGAAGCCTTGGCCTCGCCCTGCTTCCTTGTCACACGGCCCGTCTGTATCCTTCTCAAGCGGTGACCACCGAGGCTCCCTCTTAGCGGTGGAGTCTTGCGAGCAAAAATTCTACTTGGTGAGCTGCTGGCATTAAAGAGGTGAGCGAGCAATTGGGCTACTGCATCAGTTTGCTCTGGAGCCACCCCTTCCTGAGTGAAGACAAAAATATGTGAGCCGGAGGCTAAAGAACCGTGAGCTGGCTCACACTCAGCTTAGAGGGAGCACTGGTGACCACCCCAAAAGGCCGTCTCCACGGCCTCCCCCCCCCATCCCTTCCAGCAGCAGCGCAGCAGCCATTCTGTGCGGTGTCAAAAGGGCCGTCTGGCCCAAGGGACTGGGCAAAATATCCCCCACCACCACCCTGCAAGGTATCCTCGTGTTTCCTGTGTGGGAATAAGGGTTAGGGTTCTGCTGCTGGGCATCAGCAGCCTTGTCTCCGCAGGACGAGGACAAAGGGCCTGGGGGGGAAACACACACCCTGGGGGGGTTTCCTCAAAAGCGACGTGTTACATGCAACAGGGGCGGGTCTTCGTGTGGGAATAAGGGTTAGGGTTCTGCTGCCAGGCATCAGCAGCCTTGTCTCCGCAGGAGGAGGAGGACAAAGGGTTTGGGGGGGGGGACACACACACACCCTGGGGGGTTTCCTCAAAAGTGAGGTGTTACATGCAACAGGGGCGGGGCTTTTGGAAGACCAATTCTGCTGGGAGACTCTGTTTTATGACTTTGGAATTCTGCTGCATGCCAAGGGGGGGGAGCCTTTTTGGCTGAGGTGGTGAGTGGGGGGGGGGGGGCTGCCTCTGCTCCCTCCTGCAGAGCAGCCCCCTGGCCCTGGAATCCTTGGGGGGGGGGGTGTGTGTGGCCGGAACAACGTTGGAGCCCAGGGGCACCTTTGAGAGCAACACAGGACAAATAAACCTTTGTTGGTCTTCCAGGTGCCACTGGACTCAAGCATTGTTCTGTTCTGTGGAATTCTTCTAGTCCTTATTTGGAATCCTCCAGCCTCCCAGGCATAGGTGCCCCACCCTGCGGCCCACGGGAGGGGGGGGGAGAAAGTCCTCTCTTGCCTCCAGTTTCGTTTCTTGCTTCCTTATATTCCCCCCCCCCGCTAGTGTTTCCTCTAAGCTGAGTTAGTGTGAGCTAGCACACTGTTTTTTAGCCTCCGGGTCACACATTTTTGTCTTGGTTCAGGAAGGAGGGCTCCAAAGCAAACTAATTGATGCAGGAGCCAAAGTGTTCGCTTACAACTTTAGTGCCAGTAGCTCACAAAGTAGAAGTTTTGCTCACACGACTCCACAGCTTAGAGGGAACATTGCCCCCCCCCGCACATCTCTGGTGGCACTGCTGGAGCGTGGGCTGCCCCTGCGAGACCTGGGGCGGGGTGAGGGGTGTGCAGCAAATCTGAAGTGGGAGGCTGAGGGCTGCGCTCGCCTCCCCCCCCTTTCCTCCATGTCCTTGTCCTCGGTCACCAGCAGGCCTCCCCTCTCTTTCCTTCTAGGTGGGGGAAATGGTCAGAGCCCCTCTGGTGCCCCCCCGGCGGGTATCTGCAGAGGTTCTCCTTGCGAGTAGAGAAGGTCCGCGGCGGCATGAAGGACAACATGGGTGCCACCAACATCCGCTTCACCTGCTCGGGTGGGGAGACCCTGGAGGGCCACGGCTTGTCCTGGGGGGAGTACGGCGTGTGGAGCCCCCGCTGCCCGAAGGGTCTGTGTGGGGTCCAGACGAAGCAGGAGATGCCACGCGGGGCCCTGAGGGACGACACGGCTCTCAACGACGTCCGCTTTTTGTGCTGCAGCCACTGAACACACCCCCTCCGGGGATGAAGCCCCCCCCAGCCCCCTCCCCCGTGGGACACCCAGCAAGCAATACAGGTCTGGCCCCTCCCTCCTGTCCTGAAGGGCCTCGAAGCCACCCATCCGGCCACGGGACCCACGCCAGGGCCTCCCCCCCCTTTGCCCAGGCCCACCAGCTGAACCCCCAACAGGGCACCGTGACCGAAAGGGTCCCTCCTGCCACTGGCAGGGCTCCGCCACAGAGCCTGGGCCGAGGGCTTTGCCCCAGAAGACGTTAACCAGTCGTGATGATGATGGTGCCTCTGAGCACGCACAGAGTGTTTGCCCAAATCTTGCTAGGGCTCATCTTGGAGTGAGCTGCCTCAGAGCACGTGCGTGCAGAGGGCCTTGTCATCTACCACGCAGCCACTCCCCATGCAGTTCGGCCTCTGTTGATTCACCCTGGTGTGCCCCCCCCCTCGCAGTTCCCGCTTACACCTTCAGAGCCAGCTTGATGCCCTCAGGAGACTCTGTCCCCCCCCCGTCACTGCTGTTACCCTAGGCCCCCCCCACCACCACCGGG